GATTCACAAAAACAAAAATCTGGCAGCAAGTTTTATTATTTCCATGCATGTCAATGCTAGCCCGGAGCAACACATCATAATATCCACGACTTGATTCTGTCAAAATTCTCGGTCACGACCTTGGTCGTGGTAAGACCGAGAATTTAGACATAACGCAATTCTTCATTTTCAAAAATTCTGATTGAACCATGGCCGTGAACGTGACTGTGAATTTGGACAGAACTCTAATGGTTCATTGGAAAACCACGGTCGTGGGTGCAACCATGATTTTTCAACGAACCATTAGGGTTCTGTCCAAATTCATGGTCACGCTCACAACCGTGGTTCAATCAGAATTTTCGAAAACGCATAACCTCGTTCTTCCTCAGATGAAAACACACAAAACCCACACAAAAACTTAACCACCAATACACATAAATCACATACTACCATGCAACCCCACAATTTCAACCATTTATACAACAGAAAACACAAACCCTAAAGCCCTATCCAACCAACCGCAAACAAAGACGAAGACAGCAAAATCAAATATAGGGAAAATATAGAGACAACAAAATCATAAGGAAAATATGCCGATTTCGAGCCCTAGGAGTGCATGAACCAAGGAAAATACAAAATACGCGGCCATTGAAGCAATGCAAGGACGAATAACGAAAATCACGCAACAATCAGTAGAAAAAATATCTTTTTCTAGCCCTAAAAGCGACGCAAATACCAAATAAAATGTGCAAACCTCGAAGTTTCAGATATGAGATGCGATTCAGAGCAAAAAATTGAAAGAAATCAATAGAGAGGAAGATGGAACAGAAAAGTAAATCAGATTGGCGAAAACGAAACAGAAAACACAAGAAAAGAAAGGAAAATGGAATGGGAGGATACCACGGTTAAAATTTAAACTTAGGGGTATAATGGTCATTAAATTCAAGGTCGTGGTTCTCTGTTTCACAGCCGTGGTACAGCTAACAGTAACCACGTTAAACCTCGCCCATGAGAGATATTTCATTAACACCACGGCCGTGTTTATTCGATCACACCCGTTGTTATTGGTTCGTTTGCGAATTCTCATCTGCTTTCCATATTGAGGCTAAAATAGTAATTTAACTCTTCAATATTCTATTCCAAATAATCAAATTGTTCATTTGAAAACTTTTTTCTAATTAAGGTTAGTTGGACAAAGTGAAAACTTTTAAAGGTCAAATCTGTCAATTTCCCAAGAAACTTTCACAACTTATTAAAGAGAAATACCACAGTAGGTTACATATATGGAAAGAATGACCTTTATGAGATGCATTAGAAAAGCAGTTTTCCCATAAACGATAAACATTACTGTAACTAACTTTCTTAGCCAAAATGTCACCTGACAATTCATATTTCCATTGATGTGAATAAAAAGCAGCCCTTTGAATTTTCTCTTCATGATCATAATATCGTCAACCCAAGAAGCTAATTCAATTCTCGAATGATCTTCCCCAAACAGACCCAGCTCGTCGAGAGGAAGTCTTCTGATACGATTCGAGGTAAGAAAAAATTGAAGCATTGTGTAGATACCGTATTTGGTTCGGCTCGCTTTCGTTTTTAAAAAAAAATATTTATTACTGATTTATTTATTATTTTATTATATTTATTGATTTAGTTTAAAATAACATAGTTTACTTTATTATAAAATTAAAATTTAATGTAAAGTTTTAACTAAATCAAATTAAGTTTTAAAATTAGATTTTATTTGAAAATAATTGGTTTTTTTAATTGATTTTAAGATTTAAAAAAAACAGTTTTTTTCTCCCCTTTGATAAAATCGTTCATATGTGTATCCCCTTCCCTTCTTCTCCTCCCTGTTTTTCTCTCTTCTCTTGCCTCTTTTTCTTTTTTATGGTTATTTTTAGGTGTATTGAACACCCATACAGAGAAGACGAAGAAAAATTCACTTCATTCTTTCTCTCTACCATCACTCTCTCTTCTTCTTCACCCAGACCAGCGACCCCGACGATACACAGACAACCTGTACCACAGTAGTCCGGCGCAAAGCTCTATAATCCCGACGGACAACAATAATATAACGAACAACTTGTACAACCGACGCACGGATCACCGACAACCTGACTCCGACCTCGAGTGCTCCTTCACGGTTTCAGACCCGCGGGCACACCAAGGATTTCCTCACTGCAGTACGTGATCTAGAAAAAAATTGTTTTAGAAATTTTTTGATTTTTTTTTAATAAATTTGTTTTAAATAAGTTTGTTTTAAATTTGATATATATATATATATATATATATATATATATATATATATATATATTAAAATAAATTTGTTTAAATATGGTTTGATTATTTTTAAATAAGTTTGTTTTAAATATGATTTTTTTTCCTCTTTAAAACAAGTTTGTTTTAAATGTTTTTTTTAGTTTTAAGGAAGTTTATTAGAAGAATTTCAAATCTAAAACAAAATAAAAAAAAAATTTATTTTATTATTATTATTATTATTATCATTATTTCGGTTTTAGTTTTATTTTTTATTTTTTTTTTAACAATTTGTTTTAAAACTAAAGATTTGTATGATAAGAATTAAGTTAAGTTCTATCATGTGGTGTTGGCTTAGTGGTAGGTTACTTAGGAGTAATCCTCATGTCTCAAGTTCAAGTTTTTGCTTGCCTAAATTAATTTTTTTTCATTATTTTTACAAAACAGCTATTTTAGATAAAATATTTTTTTAAATAAAAAAAACTTTCGTTTTTATGGGATTTCAAATCTTAAAACATTTATATAAAATGTTAAATAATATCTTAGGATGTTGACACATTGGTAAGAAGTTTATGTATAGATTCTTATGTCACAAGTTCAAGTYTTGATGGGCCCTACACAAAATTTATTTTTTATTTATTAATTTTTCTTTTTTACTAAATAATTATTTTGAAAACCCCCATGACAGAAATTGGATCTTTCCAATATTATCGAGGTGATAATTTGTTTTTCTAATGGTCTTTGCGCCACTTATGCTTGTTGGTTCATATTCTATCGTAAAATATCAACCAACAAATTTGAGACATTTAAAATCAAACACAAAAGTATTTTTCTTTTTGGACCAAGTATAATAGGATAATTTTCGACAAAATATGGTACCGTTTTCGAACGGGTGTCGTAGGATGCTAACAACTTCCCTACGCTCAACCGACTCCCGAACCAAAATTCTATTTCCGTAGACCAAGTTTTTTTAAATAGGTGACCAATCACACCTCTTAGAGATTGGTGGCGACTTCAAACCTTAATCTCAAAAGAGACAGGGGATGACGTCGATTGGTGGCGACTCCAAACCTTAATCTCGAAAGAGACCCGTCAGGGGATGATATCGACCGCTCCGCGTCGCGATGACGTTGCGACACACTGTTCACCGTGGGCTCACAAACTTGATGGTTCCTAATCCTCCTGTTTCTGTCGTTTCCAAATTGCCCAGCATGCCGCAACAGCAAATTCCAATTCGATCGAGCTCAACACTTCACCTAAACACTCTCTGATTCAAAAACGTTCAACAGAAAGCACTGTCGGAACGCATAAATCCCACCGACAATAAGCACTGCTGCACTCAGACAAGTTATGTTCCAACGTCTCCATATGAGTTCACACATAGGGTAGTGAGTAGAAGTATCCATACCTCTTGAGATTAAATTGTCTGATAAGGATAATGTTGTGAAAAACTTTCCAAATGAAGTGTTTGACTTCAAGAGGAATTAGGAGTATTAAAAAATCCCGACAATCCGACGAACCCAACCCAAACTGTAAGGGTTGGGTTGGGTTAGATGAAGCCTTGGGTTGGGTTGGGTTGTGGTTTTCCCAACCCGATCGAGTTGGGTTGGGTCTCGGGTTCAACCTTTAAAAAATCGGATCAACCCAACCCAACCCGAATTTATGCATATATGTGTATTTTTCTTAATTATATATAATATTTATCYTCAATGTTACCGTCCATTTAGTGTTAATCATCACCCTTCATTTAAGGTTTTCATATTATCTTCTTCCATTTTTTTTATCTTAATCTCATCCGTCCATTAAGTTTTAATCCTAACTTCTTGTCGCCGCCGTTATAATTAAAAATAAAAAAAATAAAAAGATAGACAAACCGACAACCCAACCCGACCCAACCCAAAAATATTGGGTTAGGTTGGGTTGACCATCCAATTTAAACCCGACGGTTCCTATATATGACCAACTCAAATTACCAAAATGTGCACAGCATAAAATTTCTATTACAATGACATATCAAAAGCGCTGAAAAGAACATCAATTAAAAACATAAAAAGTGATAATTACAAAATGCAAATAAAAAGACATTGATTACACACATTATAGATTATATTTTTTTAAATGAATATATTCTATTGATCTCAAAGGAAATTTCTGCAAAAATATATGAAAATAAGCGTTGGTTAAGTTGTCGGCTCCATTCTATGAATAATACGCTGATATTTGCCGTGGCACAATTATGCACACTCAAAAATCTAAATATGTTGTATTAAAGCTTGTACACATAATAAATAGAAAGAMCCCCGAAATTATTTCCCAATTTGGACGGAAAAAAATAACACAATTATTGAGATGGCACAAATTCCTCTCTATGTTACAATTTGATTTCATGATCACATTTAATAAAATTTCAACTTTTAAGTGCAACTCTCCACATTATTTTCCCGTCTCAAAAACTATCAACAGCAAACGACGAACCAGGAACAATGCAGGAAGGGCACTTACAGGAGTCGATTCTCAGGATCCCCGACCGCTGCCTTTTTGCCTTCTCTCTTCCAATGCAGCAGCCTCGTTCAACATGTCAGCTGCGTCCTTGTGCATGTCTAGCTTGGCAAGTGCAACAGCCTGCATGTAAAATGATGTGGACCAATCGGGGTAAACGCATTGCGCTTGCATGGCGTCTCGAAGAGCAGCGTCTGGTTGGTCGCAGAGAAGATAACACAGACTTCTCCTTGCATAAACAGTGGGAGAAACCATGGTACCGACATCTATGAACTGCACATTCAAAGAGCATTGTGAATTTAATTTTTGTTTGACTTTGAAAATTAAACTCATAGCCCTTCTTTATTCTTTCATTTTACTCCTCTTGTTAAGAATATATTTACATATAGTTACATTCTTGGTTAAATTACTAGTCTTTGAACTTTCAATGGTGTGTCCAATTAGTTCTTGAACTTTGTGTCTAATATAATATRTCTCTTAACTTTTAAAATGTTTAATAAGCTTTAAATTTCATGTCTAACAAGTCTCTAGACTTCTTATAAATTTTATAATATTCACTAAAAGGTCAAGGTTCTATCATTTGATACAACCCTGAATTTTTTAAAATATTGAATAAGTTAATGACCTAATAGACACAAAATTAAAATTTAAGGACCTATTAAACAAATTATAACTTGTGAAAAAAAAAACAAATTTTAAAGTTTAGAACATATTCGTTACATTTTAAAATTCAAGAATCTATTGAACCTATTAGACACACTCCCAAAGTTCAAGACCAATTAGACACATTTTAAAATTCAAGAACTTATTAGATACACTCTGAAAGTTCAAGGCCAATTAGACATTTTAAAATTCAAGAACCTATTAGACATACCAAAATTGAGGAACTAAATTTGTGATTTAACCTACATTCTTTACCTACATTAAGTTAGTCTACTAGAACTATTGTTCCATTCCCATACACAACCTGAACAAAAAGGACAAAAGTGGCTCCTTTTGGTACTTGGTGGGAAATTTTGGAAGTAATAATAAGATGAAGCAACAGCATAGACATTTAGCAAGCCAACAGACAGACATGGATGCGTGCTAGTTAGTACCATACACTACACACATCCCAAGATCAACTGCTTGCACGTGTTTCAAAATCATTAGCGGAAGTTTTTAGATTTGCCAAGGCTAACATCCCACCCTATACGAAACAAAAATGATGGGATTCATTAAAGAATCCTACTCATGGACAGAAACAGGGGAAAGCTCTCAAGTTGGGTGCACTACTTGTTGGGATAATGGAGCCAAAACAGGAGACTCCTGTCCTGCGAGGAAAAGAATTTTCAACACTACTACGAATTTTTATAAGGAATATGATACTGCTTTCTTACAAAGATTAAGATATTGTTTTCTAATAAGGATGAGGATATTTGACTTCCTATAAATATAGTCTTTTTGTTAAGGTTTTATTTATATAAAATCCAGATAAAAGAGACTTGAGTGGTTGTGAGCAATTTGTGAAAAAAAAAAACAGAGTTTATATCCCATAGATTTAGTGAGGGAAAATCAAATAGTTACTGTTGGAAGAACTTACAGGACGATCCATTGATCTTTTTTTTTCCCAACACTACTAGTTGAAACTTGGAAGAGATGAAATCTTCTCTAACGAAGTAGATTGGTAATTAGTCGAGTGAAACGCAAACCTGAGAATAACAGTCAATTGCTGTTTTAAAATCTCTGTCACGAAATGCCAAGTCCCCTCGCTTCCTTGCTTCCAACATGTCTCTCATTTGTTGGGTCCATTCTTGGAAAGACAACTGAAAAAGAATGGTAGAAATTGAACACATTAGGCAGAAAATAAGAACACTTAAGGTGTGTTTGGGAGTGATGGTAGAATGAGTGATTTTGAAAAAACAAATTTAAGAATAATTGATTTTCCAAAATCACCACCCAAGTGATACTTTAAAAATCAATTTTAAGTGATTTTATGTTTCTCTAAAATCAATTTTTTAATTTGTCAAACATGACCAAAAGGGATTTTGACAATGATAAAAGTCATGCTAAAATCACTCCCAAACACACCCTTCTTATTAGGAGTGTACCAACTCTTTTTACCTCATTTGTTCCTTCATCGTCTTTGTAGTGTGTCATCACCAAAATTTGATGGATAGCAGTGAGATCCATTCGTGCACAAGCATCGCCCATTGGTGTGAGAGGATGTTGTGGAGTTGGAGGTGCTTCCTCATGCTTGGGAATTCCTAGCATCACATAAGATGGAACCTGCAATCTTTGTGTTGTCAGATTGTACAGCTCATTCTTTAAACAAGACAAATCTTATCAGGTTAGGGCATAAATCAATATAGGAGTGTACTTGGCACATTCAATCAAAGATAATGTACATCTACAAAGATGAGAACTCAAATATATTTGGATATAAAGCCCTCAAATCACAAAAACATAATATATAAAATGTTAAATTACAAGTTTGTATATATAGGTACTTGAACTTTACAAAGTATATAATAGGCCTCTAACCTTTCAATTTTGTGTTAAGTTTTTGAATTTTTAAAGTATCTAATAAGTAATAAGTCCCTGAACTTCCAATGTATCTTATACGACGTCCGTTCAAAACGATTTACGTGAGTGGTTGTCCTTAACATAATATATTAAAAAAATTTAAATTAACAGATTTATTAGACATACAATTGAATTTTGTGTCTAACAAAACCGTAAACTTTCAACTTCGTATTTAATAGTTCCGTAAATTTTTTAAAAAAATGTCAAATAGGTCAATGACCTATTAGACACAAATTGAAATTTAAAAGCCTATTTAAATACAAAATTTAAAGTTTAGGGATCTATTAGATATTATTCAAATTCAAGGATCTATTTGATACAAAATGAAAGTTCAGAGACATATTAGACATTTTCTAAAGTTTCAGCAACCTATTAGATACCAAATTCAAAGTTCATTAACTAAACTTGTAACCGAACCTATATAAAAACGCATAAATTAATATTTTTTAATCATGAGTGTCCAAGCCTATTTCACGCACAGACCAATTAATCCAGTGGCAAATGCCCCGACCTGTAATAATTGATTTTTAGAAACAAGTAAATATTTTTTAGATCCAAATTGACCCATATGGCTTGTACTCATGACTTCAAACTTCAAAGGCATTTGAGTCGATTTATTGTGGTCGGCATAAAATATTTGATATGCAATCATAGACCAATATAAATAAATTACACAACTTAGGATAGTTTAAATCATGATATGCAATACACAAACAAACAGTGGAATATGTTCCAGTTCAAATCAAAAAGAGCGGGCATATAATATTTGATACTCTCAAGAGGTAATGTGAAATCTATTTAAATGCAACCTCATAACATGGCTACTTACATCAGGTTTATTCTGCAAAGGGGCAAGGGTTGCAACAAGGTCCTGCGTATTTGGTCGATCCCGAGGTTCATATTGTAAGCATCGTGAAGCAAGATCAAAAACCACAGTTGCCTCCTCAGTTGAAAAGTTACCCTCCAAATGTGAATCCATTAAGAGAAGAATGTTTTTGCCTCGTATCATATCAAGTGCCTGTGTATACAGATTAAATTAAAGGCAAGTTCAAAATCTAAATGCATCAACTACGAAATTGTTGCCATGGCTTTAAAATACATTATCACATTCCTATCCTAATAATCACTAACAAATGTCATAGAGTAAGCCGAATAAATTATATATTATGAATAATTTGACTCATTGTGGAGAAACACGTAGTAGTTTACTGTTTATTGGAGAGGGAAGTCGGTACTAAAATATAAATTCTTTTATGACTAATGATTAAATTAGCTTCAAAAAAGTTCATTGCGCTTTACAAATTAAACCTATGCATGGTAAAAAGAAAACCAAACTCTTACATGACTAGGAGGGATGTGCTTCCCACTTAGTAGATCTAAGAGGACAGTTCCAAAGCTAAAAATGACACTTTCTGCAGTCACTCTCCCTGAAAAACATAAATGTTGTAGTTTTTGTTAATGCTATGGTTGTTGCTCAGGCAAGCCAAAAACAATATAACAACAATTTTTCCCCTATTAACACTATGATAATGTTATCGTTATCTCAAACAAATACATCAAGATATTTTATCAAGCAGTCAATTTCTTCCAATGTTATAGCAAGTCAAATAGTAATGTAACACTATTTTGAAATTCAAATGACTCAATTATATGGATATGTAAAATACAATATTTCCAATTCTGGCAAACGGATGCTCAATTAAAAGTGAGTAAATTGAATTCCATACTTAGATCTCATATCTCGATCTAGAATTCTGCAGAAAGTCATATGTAAGACCTGGAGGGAGATCTTTCAAGATCCACCCAAGTAAAAAAGCCAAAATAAATTATTTTAGCGCTTCTCAAATAAAAAGTAAACAATTCCAGAACCCCTTTGCTCATGTCACATCCAGGTGTTGTAAACAAAAAAATTGCAAAATTCAATCCAATTTATCGTATTAGGAGAAGATTGTCAGTATCTGATGGTAGGGTACCTACAATTAATATATCTTTGAAAAAACAGAATAAACAGACTCTTAGAAGGCTCCTTGAGACACTTAAGTGGAAACCTATTGGATTGGAGCAGTTGGATGTTGCTTAGGGCTGCTATAACTTAACAACCATAGGCCGCAAACAAGACTATTTGCAGTAATGTAAGTATCCAAGTTTCCATTACCCCGAGGCAGGTCACTCCCATCTCAAATTGTCTCACCTGGATTATCCAGAGTCTTCTATTTTCAAATTTAAAATAAAGCAAATTTGTAACATAAATTACTAACTTCAAAATGTTGAATAAGAGATTGCTGACTAATGCCTAAGGGGAACCATTAAATTGTAGACTGTTAATAAACACTCAAACCAAAAACTTAATACAGATAAAAGAAAACATTTATTCATTCACTAAAGAAACCAGTAAAGTCGAAACATAAATATATCAATTATTGCCACACGAAGAAGATAAATACCATTTCTCAAATATTCAGGTGGCGTATAGGCAAGATTGGTGCTGTAACTTTTACCATCCCTGCTGTTTTTCATCAATCCGAAACAAGAAAGTCGAGGGTCACCGCCCTGCCAAAAACCATTCAAAAGTTACCACATTGCTTGCATACATAAAAAGGATTACTGAATGGAAGAATCTAAGCAGAATCACCCAAATGTAATATTAAAAAATCAATCGAAAACGAAACATATCCAACTGTATAACATATAAAATCCGATAGCATCTTCGTAAAAAGAGATTAGTAATAACAGCACCTCGTCAAATAGAACCCTATATGCGTTCAAGTCATGGTATAATGGACGTTCCTGAGAGCTACAATAGTCTAATGCTTCAGCAATATATAAAGCAACTCGTAATCTCATAGCCCACTCAATGGTTTGGTTCTCCCCTGTCAAGTAAACAAAAAAGTTTCTTGCCATATTAGAGCAAACTGTCCAAGAAATGGCATTAAAAAAAAAAGTAAAATAAAATAAAATTGGCAAACATTTCAATTCCTCAAAGACTGAGAAAAACCAGATGTTGACTGTATAAAGCAACTGTTATTGCATACATCATCAATCCCTTTTAACATAGCCAACGTAATAAACAAACACCAATTATAGGAATAGGATAAGACATCACTATGTTACTTCACAGTGTTCTGAAAGCCCACGACTCCAAAAGAGACAAAACCCAAAAATAGAAATCGCTAATTAACAACTAATGGAACAAGAAATTGAGCTACAAAAAACCTGGTAATCCAAATGAATTAATAATTGGTAAGAAGAAATTAGAAGAACTTACAGTGGAAGAGATGTTTGGCGAGGGTGTCATTGGGCATGTACTCCGCAACAAGAAGCCTCTCGTCGCCTTCACAGCAATACCCAATGAGATTGGCGAGCCTTTTGTGCCTCAATTTCCCGACGCCCGATGCTTCCTCCTGAACCAAATTAAACCCTACGAATTGGGAAAATGTAAAAACGAATGGGGAAAAGAAAACAAGAAGAGAGAAGTCGAGAAATACAGCGAACTGCTTGGGATCAGGCCAGGCCAATTTGGTGAACTTCTTGACGGCGATCCAGCGGCGATTGTTCTGGTTCTGTAAGCGGCCCTTGTAGACGACATTGGGAGCTTTTTCGCCGCTCTCGGAGACGATGTAATCGGAGCTGAAATTGTTGGTAGCGGCTCTGAGGTCGGCGAGGGAGAACTCGGAGAAGGAAGGGACTCCGGCGGTGGCGGCAGCGGCGGCGGCAGCAGGGTCGGACCCATTAGAAGGGAAATTGTTCTGGGCGTGGGAGAGATGGTTGCTCCTGCTCTTGCTTCCAAATCGTCTGTGTAAGGAGGATCCGCAGCAGCCCATAACTGAGAATCAGTCCTCGACCACAGCTCCACCACAGCTCCTCTGCTCCTACTCAAGAACTCATAAAGAAGAAGAAAACAGAGAAGCAGAAGCTTGGGATTCACGCAGAGGAGAGAGAGACAGAGGTTAAGAAGGAGCAGATTTCTTACTCTTCCTTCGTCTTCTCATGGAGCTTGCTCGGTTGCGGTTTCTCTCTCTCGCTCCTGTTCTTCTTCTTCTTCTCTCTCTTGTTTTCTTTTTTCTTTAATTTATTTTTTTGGTTTTTGGGTTTATTTTCCATCGCTGGGTACTGACAAGACCTCTGTCTTTTCTCTCTGCATTGAGTTGTCGTTTTTGGGAGTGAAAGGGTAACTTGGTAAATTGGCTATTAACGTCTCTTTTTTGTTTCTCGCGCTGTACTGTCACGTCCTTTGATTTCTCTTCTTTTCCTCTCTGTCATTTTTTTTTTCTGTTTTCTTATTATATTATATTCCTCTAAACTATAAATTATAATGCATTGTGTTGTGTTAATGTATTTTATAATTTTACTAAAAAAGAAAAGTAGAGGAATAAATAATAAATAATAATAATAATAATAATAATGCTTCAACCAATTCACAACGCTACGCGTTGCGTTTGTGTTGTGCTGTGTTACCAATTTAATTATTATAGTTATTGGAAATTGGGATCTCTTTTTTAAATATTTATATATTTTCATACAGATAATTACAGATATAACCTTTTTCTTAATTTTACAAATGAATCTGTCAAATTGCACTTTTATACTCTAATAAATAATATAATTTGTCTTAACATCGGATTATCTGAACAGGAATTAATACATATTTTTCATTAAATATTCATACATGTTTGAATTAAAGACGTAGATTCAGTAGTGGTAAGTAATTGATAGAAATTTTTAAAAGATTGACAATATGCGTATCCGTTAGAAGTTTTTATTTTTTTACATAATTAATTATTTTTTATATTTTATTTTTTTAAGAAAATAATGAGCAAGACATAAGTCTAATCTAAAGTAAAATATATATCATTTTATGTATAGTTGAATGGTAGATAGCGTATGCTTCTTTTGAAATACGATGAAATTCAAAATTGCAATAAAAGTTGAATTTTTCCACATGAAATAAAATTTTTGAATTTTTCCATTAATTTTATTAGCCATTTTTATTAATTCAATAATGCTAATCATTGATTTGCAACTGTCAATAGTTCACTTATTGATGTTGATGGACTAAAATTATAATGATCACTTATTAACTTAAATATTAATTGACTTACTACTTATTTATGTTTTGCTTTTTTTTTTCCTTTTGTGATATTAGCAGTTATTTTTATGAACAAAACAAAAACTGTTCTTATAATAAGTTAACTCAATTATATTATATCCAAGGCTTTGTTTTTATTTTTTAATTCAATAAATATGGAGAGAGAACTAAACCAGAAATTAGAGGTGTTTAGTCTTTAACTTTAAGTTGAATTCGTAATTGGAGATGTTCATGGAGCTGGGGATGGATAAATATTTTTTTAAATACATTTTTATTTATTTGTTTAATTTCTAAGAAATAACACAATCTGATATAAATAATTCATGTATTAATCAAAATTGGTAAAGAAATCATCCATATAAATAAGTAGGTTACCTATCCGATGGGAAATGAAAATAAAATAAAACAATATTACCTCAAAATCTAACAACTAAACTAAAAAAGAATGACCGTACAAATTCATCCATATATAGTTAAAAGGTAAATAATTGATCAAACTATTTCTTACCATGCATGTTAAGTACTATATTAACTAGAAATATTGTACAACGGTGTGTGCCAAGTGGATTAATTTCAGACGAGTTTGACCAACTTTAAAATTTTACCAACTATATCTATGTTATTTATATAGTCCTAAATTAATGGAAGTACATATTTAGCCAATAAAACTTGTCAATAGAGGAGAGGTACCTAAAAAATTAGGTAAGCAATATTTACCAAATAGCGTGAATGTACGGTTGAACATTTTCAGCTCCATCAACCTCCCTAACAAAAATCTAAATTAAATTTTTTTAGTTCAGTAATTAAATAAACACAACATTAAATGTTAGGGACCAAAATTATAATTAGATAAAAATATAAAATAAACAAATAAAGCATATCTTCTTTTCTTTATGTTAATATTTATGATTTTTTGTAAGTTGACGTGGGATTGACTTCGAATGACGCGGTTTGTCAAATAGGTCTTTTTTTGAAAAAGGAAAACAAAAAAAAGTTACGTCTTTATTTTAATTTTAATATTTAACTGCCACGTGTCATAGAAATTATGAATCATGGTCTTTATAATTATTTATTTACCTATCTTTCTTATTATTAAATTTTGGTTGGAAAAGTTGTTTTGTTAATGGCCAAATTGGGCTTTAAGAGCGTCGCTTTCGAGCGTGTGCCGCTTTGAATTTTATGGTCTTCACAAATTGACCATTTTAATTCTCAACCATTTATCACTATAATAAACTCCAACAATTGTTTTTTATTTCCAACTCTCAACCTCCCCCGTAAAGTTCAATCTTTAATTTTGAGGAGGGTTAAAAGTACTATTTTAGTGGACGTACTTTTATTTTTAGGCTCTATTTACATTAGAATAGAAATTAAAGAATGGGAATTAAGTTTTTATCTCTTTTGATGATGTTTACAAAATTGTAAAAATAGAATCAAATGATGACACCTCAAACTTGATAATCTGATCCTCTCGAATTAGACAATCAGATTCCTCTACCACACCCCATCAATCTTATTCTCATTCTGTCAAAACGAGCATAGCTCAACGGTAATTGGTATATACCTCCAACTAAGAGGTTGCGAGTTCAAATCCTCTCCCAAACATGTTGTACTAAAAAAAAATCGGGATTCGAACTCAAGATCTTTTGGTCAGAGATAGGTACCATAATCATTTGAGCAAGTACATTACCAAACTGGACCAAAATAAATCAAAATGGAAAGTACAGGTACCAAAATAGTATATTATGAATTAAAATTTTCTAAAATTGTGATATTTTTTTTATTTTTTGAAATCATGCATTGGACGTAACCTATGGAAATAAAATAAAACAAAAAAAGTTCAATTTGATGTACCACTTGTCATTTGTTTATGGGCAAGAAAAACGAATCAAATCTGACATTTAAGTCCTTTTTTCCTATAAAAATGACTAATATATAAACATGATGGTACCGGAGGAGCAATAATTAATTATTAATTACATGTAAACCTTTTTTTTTTTTTAGAAAAATTACATGTAAAATTATGATTACGACCTAGGGGAAAATTTCATCGCGTCTTATTTATAATAACATTAATATGATTTTGTAACTATGACCATTTTTTTCTGAATGCCTATCTCCAACCAACATAAAATGTACGGAATAAGATATTGCTGGAGAAATAAATTATTCCCAATTTAGAAGTTAATTTAATCTCCTTCGTGGTGGGTTTGAATTAAGGGTTTTACTCCTATATTTACAAATTTATAATACTGTTATTATATTTATAATTAATTTCGCTTATTTTGAATATATCCAAGTTCCCCTTTTACATATTCTTAGTTTTTGGTTAATTACTTTTTTGAAAATTACCAACTGTATGAACATGATATGGTTTAGTGATAATTAACATATAATTTTTCTCTTAAGGTCAAATGTGTGAATATTCAATTGTTATACTTAAAAAAAATTATCAACTTAATTAAATATCGTAATAGATAGTAAGAACATAAATGTTCTTTTTGTTTATTCTTCTTTAAAAAATTAAGATATTTTCGAATTATACAGACTTTAAGAAGATAAAAACATAAATTTTCATTTTTCAATTCATTTTTCTACTTGCACCTAGCTGGAGCTACATTTACCAACGGTGTTTCATATTCTCCTTATTCTTTGTTTAAGATGAGACTAAAGCTTTAGATTAGAGGTATAACATCTTTGTTTTCCCTCTTGCACAAGAATCTCGTAAGTTGTGTTAGGGGTGATCATGGATAAGTCAAAATCAGTTTTTGGCTCAAACTAACGCTAATCACCAATAAGTTGATTTTCGTCAATTTTAGAAGAATCGACCAACTATACCAACAGTCAGTCGGTCAGAAAGATGAAGAAGTGGGAGGAGAAATAAAAAGAACGAGAGAAGATAATAGAAATGGAGGAAGAGAGAAAAAAGAGAGAAGGGATAAGAAGAGCAAGACAAACATTAATTTGAAAAGAGAGAAGAGAAGAGAGAGCATGAAGGGGAGAGGGAGGCACCAAGCTCATATTTCTCATATTGCGCGCACATCTTCAGAAGAGAAACCAACCAAATACATAGACGAGGCAGTCCTGTCTCTTCCTTTTTTGCCGTGTAACTCCTTTACTTTAATTGAACAATAATGTTCTTAGACAAACCTATCATTATAGTGTCTTTTGAAGTCCCCAAATGAGCCACTATCATCCCATCACCTTACTTTTGTCCTTAAATTAATCAAAGAGCCGTTTGGGTTCAAACTTTAAGCAGCCCATGCACTGTCCCAATACCCTAATTTCTTTGACTAAACCATAAAATTGCACCCAGATTTACTAAAAAGTTATTCGGCAAATATACATTTATTCCAAATTATTATTATCTCTTCTTTTTTGGTGCAATATTGAGGTGAGAGATCAAACTCACAATCTTTTGATTATATATATATATATATATACATGTGTGTCAATTACCGTTGAGCTATACTCGCTATATAACATTTATTCCAAATTATTTAACGTCATCGACATTCAAATAATTTCTCCATATTTACTCATTCACTCACAAAACCAAAAATAATCTAATCAATCAATAACACTAATTAAATGTAAAAACACAAACAAATAAATTAATGAATAAATGAATCATAAAACTGTTTGAACAAAAATGCTAGCAATGGACCTGGCTCTGTTCCTGCTTCTCCATGGCCGAACAGAGCTCCTCATAAGCTGCAATGGAGTCCCAA